TTTAATGAATTTCTATAAGATTTGGATAAGTTAATAATCCTAAAATTCTTATTGAGTATACGAGCATAGTACTTAGTATATTTGTTTATATTTGATGTAACTTGCAGATACAGTACCAATACAGCACTTATCGTTTTTCAAATGATTTCAAAAAGGTGGGGACCCAGACTGGGTATTACATTGAGTATAATATTGATATCATGTTCGAGGTATGTATACAATTTAAGTTTATACGCTTGGGATGAAGGCTCCTAGTTGCCTTATCAGTACAACCTAAGTTCTAATGGAGGCCATTAGTTGCCTTAGAAATATCCATCAGATTGTGTACAAGTATCCGATTAGATATCGGCCAGATTCAGTTTAAGTTACTGGAATAGATTTCCAGTCCAGATATATACCAAAGATCATGATATTGTATTATTATTGCTGTTTACTTTAGTATGGGTGTTATACGGGGTACAAGAGGATCAGTACTCACCCCCATTGTGTTTTTCAGGTAACAGGATAGGGATGGAGGTGTGAGCTGAACAGTGGTGGTGGTGGTCGTGCACTTATTTCAAGTGGACATTCATTAAGTATTTGATATGTCTGTATAATAAACCACGTTTTTAAGTATTTCCGCTACGCATATTAAGACTTGAACTTGCATTTTAATAAATTTCAGATTTCAAGTTTTACCATTTAGAGAAGTATAAATATGGTATTTTAAATGCAAGTTTAAAGGAAATCTGTTTTTATTTATATTTAAAGAAGTATTAGACAAAAGTTTAAAGATAAATAGATTTTCAAGAAGATAAGTTTGAGTAGCATCCCGAGTTAGTCGCAAAAGATTTTGAAAGATTTATAAGTATTTTCGAAGTAAAAGTTGCGAAAAATTTACTCTGATGAGCGGGGTGTTACAGCTCTCGTGCGAGTCAACGGTCGGCCCCATGGTTGGCCTCGCGTCTCTCAGCACGGGTGTGCGTGCTCAGCCACCACTTCGCATGGCTACACCCGGTCAGGGTCAGCTTTTGGTCCAAGGTTCCACAAGAAATTTACAGTCCAAGACAATCCAAAAAGATGGTTTTACCAAATTTCGAAAATTTTGGGATCAACAAAACAATTTATGTATCAGGCGTTTCACAAATTTCAAAGTTTCAAAAGTCTCAAAAATAGCAAAGTGCAAGTTCGAGTTCCAAGTCCACCAACTTTCTGAAACAACAAAATGCAATACGCCACAGATCTAACGATATGCAAAGTCTAAAAAGAACTCTCATGGCGATTCTCCCTCAGTCAGCGGCTTCTGCCGAGACATTAAATAGATAGCTTGCCTCGGCTCTTCCGACTAATAGCGTCGGCCGACACGTCAGCTCTTCCTCGGGTAGCTAATCGTGTCAGCAGTCCTAAACGAGCGCAACTCATCTTTCACTTTCCAATCTTCACACTTCAGAATTTGAACGCAAAGTTCCTCCCTGGATTCCGAAAGGAGTAAAAGAACAAAAATTTCTACGATGAACAAAATTTAGAATAAGGACAGTTCTACTCCATGCGATGTGCTTGCCCCGGACTCGACTACCCTCCTTAAAAGATTTCTGCATAATCTTTTAAGGCGGAAAAACACTCTTTGATATGCGTCAAATCACTCCATCTTCCTATCGAATCGATTTGGGTTGGCTTCTGCTCTTGTACATTCATCTCGATGCCGAGAGAGAATAATTATTGTCCCCCCTCGAGGGTAGATCATTCACAAAAATGGCGATAGAAAAATTTTACCCTCGAGTCTTCGTCATATTTTAGCGATGGCATTCGAACGAAACTCTCATACTTCGCAAGCGAATAAGGATAAGCAGAAACAAAGAGATGCTTAATCTCACTTGAATTTAGGTTTTTCAAACAAGGTCAATTCACAACATAAGATAAACCAGAATTAGCTAAACTTCAAGAGAAGCGAATTTTAAAGTTGGGAAGCTTAAAATAGTTTACACAGCGAATCAAAAGTAGGGAAAGATCAAGAGAAATCCTCAAAATACGAAAATTGGATAATAAAAAGAAGCCTCCATCACACTTCAAAATTGTTTGCCATGTGAATGGGAAAAAGGTTTGCAAGAGTATACAAGAAGACAAGAATTTTAATAAAGTAAGCATGACTACTTCACCTTCTCCCTTCGAGATGGCTCGCGAATGGTCCTCTTCCGAAGACACCAAAATACATCGAGAGGACTGTTATACACAGAACTCAGCTCGATAACATTATATCGAATTTCTAAACAAACAAAACCCCAAGTTAGAACTTAACTCTATATCGCTAGAGTTCAAGTTTATACAACTAAAGTTTGCCACTCATCTAGAGTTCCAGAACGTTTAAAAGTAGAAGGATAAATTCCTAAGCCCCGGTTTACATCTCATAATACAATAATACTTCACATAAACAATTTAATATTACCCAAGTATTCATACCTGAGTTGGCGCGGCACGACGGAAGCGAGTGGTCATATACTACATCATTTTATACAAATATTTCACATAATTCTCATATACCAGTCTACAGAAACGCATACTGGCTCTGATACCAAACTGTAACGCCCCACATTGATTTTAAGGAAATTTCGGACTTTCAGAAAAATTAGAATAAATTTTTCAAAATTTATTTCAAACATTTGTGGCGTTACTCATATTTTCCAAACGACATAACTTCAATTCATAACATGAATCATCTAACTCCAAAATCGGGATCCATAAATCCATAAATCTATAAATCACCATTTCACCCAAAATGGATTCCCAAAATAAAACTCAAGTTTTAAGACATGACAATGTCAACGGGGCATCTCCCCAATAGTATCTCAATACTTCATAAGTTCCTAAGGTTCGAAAATGCATAAATCGTAAATAGTCATAAATATAGCAGAAGCAAAATCCAATAATGACCGGTCTCCTAGACCGACTACCACTCGCTTTACTCCGCCGTCGTACCCGCCTTGCTTAACCTGAAACGTTAATTTCAGGTGAGGATGAGCACAGTTGGAAATCGTAGTGCTCACCAATATGCAATAAACATTTTCATAACATAACAGTAACAGAAATAGTATGATCACAACATGTATAAGAATCAATTAAGTATCCCAGGTTTCATCATAAATTCACAGTGTTCAGACTCATGTGCACATCTATACCAATAGACTACTGCTGGTCCACGTATCGTATGCCTGCTTACGCGTTACGTACGTATGCTTGCTTAGGGCTTACGTATCATATGCCTGCTTAGGCCTTATGACACCACGTTTATGCTCCTCGGACTTATACACCGAATGCCCCTCGGCCTTCTATGGGTGCCCAGTCAGTAGGAGTAACCCCTCGAGTTTTCGTTTCATAAATACGGGACAAACGTTCGACGGCCGGTACAGCTCACATCGAAGGCTACAAGATTCATAAGCACACATTGATCATATACGAGTAAGGTAAACAATTTATTGCATCGACAACTTTAATAAAACCCACCTGGTCGCGAATAAGAGATAACACGAAAACACGAATAGACTGCGAGCTCGGCTCGTCAAACTCCTACATTAAGTCCAGATGCTATAATCAACATCTATTTTGACTTAAACGGAAATCACATTCTTACTTAGTCGAACTTGATTCGACTAAGTTGTTCGTGAAGTCCTGGGACATTGGAACACTTAAACTCGACACTAAGACTCAACCAAATACACATGGGAGTTTACATAATCCAAAACAAATGTTGACCAAGTCAAACACTTAAAGGAACGGAAGGCGAGTCGATTTACAGTTTTTATTGCAAAAGCAATATATTTGAAAATACTAGATTTTAATCACAAAAATAAGTTGGTCAGGTTATCAAATGAGTTTAACTCTAAAATTTTAACTAAAATTTCACCTCCCAGAACTTAGCAATACCATCAATTTCCAGCCCCAAACTCAAAGTATGCTATTTATAAAATTCGTGCAAGTTTATGGCAAAAACGAGCATAAATTAACAACCAGATCAAATGAATGAGTTAGCCTATGAAATTTTTACTAAGGAACCGCAGAATGTATATAACAGAGTATAAAAATCTCAGCCCTAAACTCCTAACATGCGATTTATTAAAATTGCTACAACATTCAGCTGTTTTTAAATTTTCAACATAACTGAACCTAAATGAAACTCAAAAAATTTCAATATTTTAAGAGCATGAAATATACCACAAAACAGGCACTTTAACCAAAAATCAGAATTTTTCAGCATCAGACCAATTTTTCACAATTAAAACAATTTCTGGCAGAAACACATAATAATAATTTAGCTAAGCTAACAGAATTCAAAAATTACGAAAATTTTACACACCACCTAAACATGCAAAAGACACAACATACTCGAATTTCAGCCAATTTCGAGCACTACACAATTTTTTATGAAATTAACATGAAACTGACGAAAAATCATTTTAATTAATTAAAATAGCCACAGAGCAAATAAAATTATGAAATTTTTACACGAGCTGCACATTCATCAGAGAGTGTTATTCACAAAATTTCACTTCAATCCGAGCATTATACAATTTATAGTGAATTTAATACAAAACAGCCATAATACGAGTTCAACAATTCATGTAGGACTCGATTTATGACGAAATCGTCCGAGGTCTTCACCATAAGACCAAAGATCATATCAGATTCCAATCCATAGCAACTTAATCACGAATTGACGAGATCACGTTTGATTTCTCAAAATCGAAGAGCTCGTCTACACACATTCCACATATTGAACTAAATCGAACACATAAAATAATACGACGATTATTAACTTGCAAAGCTCGTTCAACACGTCAATTTAAACACGTAAGTAATGACAGGGATGAGCCTCCATACCGTTCTCGGGATTACGCTCGAAAAACGGGTCGGAAGAGGGCTGCTCGGGGTCGACAGCGGCGGCGCTCGGCGATTGCCGGTACACGTATACATGTGGGCAGCGAAAAGGGCGCGAACAAGGGCTGTTCGTCTTCTTTAGGTGACAACTGATGCTGTTAGGCGTGCACACGGTGGCTGTGGGCTGGACGCTCGGCGATGATTGCTCGCTGGAAGTCTCGATGTGCAACTCGCCGGACATAGATTTGTCTCTTCCTGTCGAAAAACGTCCAGCCACCGTTCGGTCGGGTCGGATATGATCGCTGCCAATCGAGGGTGTTCGGAACTTGTTTGGCCCGCGACTGTTTGTGCTCGATCAGTTTCTTGCAGCCGTCAGTCGGTGGAGCCCTTCGTCTGCGGGAAAACAAGCAGTCAGTCGCCGCTGTAAGAGGAGTCACCGGAGGTGTGAGTTCGAACTCGCCGGGATTGGGGTGTAAGGGAGGAAGAAAGCAACTGCTCGTGTGGAGGTCGTCCTCGGAATCTGCTCAGCCACAGTGGCTCAGAAGTTGGCCGTGAGTGGCCAACAATCATCCACTGGGCCTGGTGGCTTGCCGCCGTCAATCTGGTTATCGGGAGATCGGGTGCTGGCGTTCGTACGCGGCGGCCCTCTGAGGCTATTCGATCATGAACAGAAACTCTTCGGGGCGTGTGTCTCGTCGAGGGTTCGATCTGCCAGCGTGTTTCTTGGCAGCCGAAGGAGTGCGATTTACTCGAGGATTAAGGGGCGCGAGATTCCTTCTCCGGTGGGTTCGACGGGAAATTTGCAGAGGAAAGGGGGTGAGGATGATGACTTGTGGCGACAGGAATTTTTCCCTTCTGTCTGCTTCTGATCGCGTGAGAAAGAGAGAGAGGGTTCAATCAGATTTTGCGAGAGAATTCTCTCTGCTCTGAAATACGATCGTGAGAAGAAGAAAGAAAAATAGGAAAAGCTGCGGGTCTCTCTTGTGAAACATGAACGAGCGAGAAGATAAATACATCTTAGGGTTAAAGTCTTGCCAATCAAGACACACACACACACGCACACAGCTTAATGGGCGGACCGGGTCGGGTTGTCGGGCTCGCGGGTCAGTCGGTTCGCCTATCGGTTTGGGTTCGATTTTCTCGGGCTCGATTAAGACACACGATAAAATAAATAAACCGGGTTTTACTTATATATTTATAATACACACATATTGATTTAAAAATAATAATATTAACAATAAGACAAATACACATTTAATTTAAATAATGCTAACATTTAGACATTTAGGCATTTAATTATACATTGGCAATTAAATAATATCTAGACAATTAGACATTTAAACGAAATTTGGCAAATATATCATATTAGACATTTAATAATATTTAGCATTCAATTAATAATAATAATAACAACAAATACAAATAAATAATAATAATAAATAATTCCTAAATATTCCATAATCAAACGGGGCATTACAGCATCCGTCTTCCTCATCACGCCGGCAACTTCCGACCACCGTCACGCACGCCGACAAGCCCTTCGTCATCTTTGGTCGCCATCCTCACGTACGAGTCTCCTCCGAACGCCGAGCACGTGGACGATTTCTCCGATCGTCAACGAGCCTTTCCGTAGAACCGAGCCGCGTTCATTCTTCTCTCCTTTGGTGTTTGGTAATTTTTACTAACTTCCATTTTTATACCATGAGATTATATGATATGGCTGATTGTATATTATAGCATAATCAATTTGAATGTGAATAAAATAAATTGTTATTTCATATAGTGTAGTATTTTAGATCTATAAGGATTAATTCGATACCCTTATGATCTGAGTCTATCTCGTGGAAACCTCTTGGAATATAGACCATATTTTTGTCCTGGTCACAATGGTTTTGACTTTGTTCAGTTTGGAGTTGTATTTTTCAAGTTATGAATTTTTAAAGTTGATGTAACTGTTGTAACTTGTTAAATACGTGATAAATTGTATTGTTGCCCAAAAATTATGAAATTTGGATATGTTTCTCTTCTGATATATTTGGACCTTGTGTAAAATATTCATCATTTTTGGAGGTCATTTGCCTGGATAATTAATTAATTGTTCAAATCTACTGAATATTATTAAATTCATGAAAAACTAAATTCTAGATGTTAATTCATGAAACTCGATCAGTATGCTATTGGATGGTGTGAAAATCCCAATAATTATTAAATTCATTTTCTTGAGTTTTTGTTAAAAATGTGTATTTTGCTGAATCGGAGAATAATTGTCCTAATTCACATGATTATTTTTTATGCATGAAATTTTTATATGACACTCCCAGCATGCTGTATTTACCTTCATAAAAATATTAGGTTCAGATTTATTCATTTGGTTGGTCATGTAAATGCATACTTGTTTTTGTTGAAAACTTGTATTAATTTTATAAAATCGCATGTTTAGGTGGTAAGGCTGAAACTTGGTGAATTTGATGGTCTCAGCAATTTGTATTATGTGTCCAAATTTCATATTATAATTCGTTCATTTACCTGGTCATCTAGAAAATGAGGATTTATTGCCAATTTAGTCGATTTAATTGTTGAACATGTTAACCCTTGAATTTGAACATGATATTTAATACATGAAGTCCCCTTTTCATGTTATATAAGTGGTGTAAATGTTAAGTTAAGTGGCTGAGTCTTTGGTGTGTCGTCCGTTATGTGTATATTTTCATATTTGGTTCGAGTCGAGTCAACTGTTCCATAATTCCACGTTAACCTTCCACGAGCCACTTAGTCGACGGATTCGACTAAATTTGTGTGTTCGTTGGACTAGTAGTAATCGAGAGTTATCTTGATTTCGTGTAGGTGTCCCGAGGTGTTGACCTCAAATCCTACCGTTCGAATCGTATATTGTGAAATTTATCGCTGCTATCAGGTGGGTTCATTTATGTTGAATCTATATTTATCGCACTTGTTATTTCGTATAAATGTTTGTCTCGATAGCTTTTGTATGCGTGAGAACCCTAGTCTAAGTGTCCCGTCGATAATGCCTTTGACGAATGCATAATTAGTGAGAGGTCGTCTGCCCGTTGCATCCGGGAGGTACGCCCCATGTCGTTGTATCCAGAAGGGGAAAAATAGCTCCACTGTCTCCTGGATAAGATCCTATGCCCGTTGCATCCAGGGTGGGAATGTTTTCGGTTACATCCTTGCCGATGTCTAGTCGGAAGGTTTGTTGTATGTACAAAGGAGGTTTGCGATAGGGCCTAATAGGGAGTTAGATCTGGATTCTATGCATATATTATTTATAGTTATAAATCTTTATGCGAGATATACTATGTGGTAATGGTGAGTATGATGGTGATACTCACCCCCATTATTTTTCTGTCCTCTTGTTCCTCTTCCTATCTTTAGGTTGAGCATGGTTGGCGGCGGCAGCGAGAGACGATCGAGTGGTGGTCGATAGATTAATGTGTCTTTACTTCCGCTTTTATCATCTTGTTGAACCGTTTGTTTTTATGATTATGCTTCCGCTTTGATTTTATGAACATGTTGGATGAACCGTTGAATCATGTTGCACTATCTGGTTGGTTTTGTGACTTATGAGTAAGTTGGTTTTATTTTTATAACTATTAATTTATGCATGTGTAGGTTCTACCTATTTGTTCGTATATGTTTAATTGTTGCCGGTAGTTAAGTAGAGCCCGTTGATTATTAAAGTTTTAAATTGGGATTCTGCGAAAAATTAACTCTGATTTTTATAAATAAACTCAGTAAATTCTTTAAAATAAAAACGGGGCGTTACAGTATGGTATCAGAGGTAGTCTGCGTTTCTATAGACTATCTCTAGTGTTAGTTTATTTAACGGCCATTCGACCACTCGCTTTCGTCTCGCCGCGCCAACTCGAGGTATGAGTTTTATTGTTTTATTATCTTATATGGGGTTAGGAATTTATCCACCTTTGATTTAAATTTCAACTCTAGTGTTTCGTGGAGAACTCTAGACTTCCTGTATTATTTAAATTTTATTCTATGCTAAACTCTTTTCGGCCGGTTCAATGCAGAACTATGGCATATCGTAACACCCGCAATGCTCGCAATCGTCAGCCATCCCCGTCACCTTCTCCGCCTCCATCTCCACCTCGTCAGCAGGACCCTCATGCCATGGACTTTACCAGACTCTTAGTCCAGTTCCAGAACATGAACGCGCCCACTTTCTCGGGGACTGAGACCCCCACTGTTGTGCTGGAATGGATGAAAGAGTTAGACAAGATCTTCGATGTGCTCCCTCTCCCAGACAGACAACGTGTTTCCCTCGCCGCTTTCCAGATGAAGGCGGACGCTTCTGATTGGTGGATCGACCACTGGGCTCGGAGGCCAGAGGCCGAGCTCAATGCCTTCACCTGGGAGCAAATGAAGGCGATGGTTCGTGACAAGTTCCTTCCCCAGAGTTTTTGGGATCGGATGGAGCACGAGTTCTACCATTTGCAGCAGGGCGATGCCAACGTGGACGAGTACATCCGTTCGTTCACCAGAATGTGTGTCTTTGCCGGAGACAAAGTGAGTACTGACGAAAAGAAAGCCCGGAAGTTCCTGAAGGGGCTAAATCAGAGGATTTGTGAGCTAGTTGCGAGTCACGGTCCGATGTTCTATGCCGACACAGAAAGTCGAGCAGAAGGAGTGGAGAGTTGTTTGATTCCGATAGCTCTGGTTCCCTCCTATTATTATGCTTCGCAGCCTGCTCAGACTGCACCGCCAGCCTATTCCCACCGTCTTATCAGCCGCAACTCATTGCTCAGGCGCCTTATCAGTACCCCGCTCCATATGCCACCGCTCCTCCATCCTCTAGCTCCGGCAAGAGAAAGAACGATCAACAGAAGTGCAAGAAGGGCAAGCGCCCTAACTACGGCCCCCGCCATCCTCAGCAGCAGCAGCCCGTGGCTTAGAACATCCAACCCATCCGCCAGCTCCCAACTGGATCGCAGCCTTGTAGAGCATGCAGATTGGCCCATGAAGCCAACATGTGTCGAGCTGCCGACATGACTTGCTATAATTTCCAGAGGAAGGGCCACTTCTCCCGTGCCTGTCCAGAACCCCAGAGGCCACCACAGCATCAGCATCAGCCCCAGCATCAGCATCAGCAGCAGCAGCATGCACCAGCTCGGGTCTATACCTTGACCTAAGAGGAGACAACCAACAATGAGGTACAATGTCCGACATGTTATCTTTATCAAATGTACCTATATTTGCGCTATGTGATACCGGGCCACGCATTCCTTCATATCTCGTCAATGTTTGGAGTCCTTGGGAATCCAGAGTGTTAGTAAAGTCGATGCTCTCGAGGTTTGTATGGCTTCGGGAAAGACGATCTCTACCGACTCAATGGTACAGGGACTTGAAATTTGGATCGGAGGCCAAACGTTGGAGGAAGATGCCTACATCATCGACATGCGAGATTTTGACGTCATGCTAGGCATGGACTGGCTCACTCATTACCGTGCCGATATCCGATGGTTGGAGAAGGAGGTCACACTTCACTCAACCCATGGAGAGCCGATTGTGTTTTTCGGCGCCAA